ATTACAAGCGACCTATTTCTTAACATTTTTTTCACCCCTTTTCTTTATTCTCACTGACTCTTCTTGTGCAAATATCTCTTAAACAACAGGAAGGTGCAGGTTCACTATAACCAAAACTCCAGACTCAAACATAATGTTACAACATCCATAGTAGTTATAGTCATCGGTGAGTAGTAAATAAAATTAAGGAAAGTTTCTTTAGAGGATGATTTAAAAATGTTTAAACTTCAAACTCTATGCCAGCTTCTAGCTTCGCTTGACAGTGTAGAACAAACCTGATGACACAAACTCCTATTAAGCTTAAAAATCAACCTAACAGACCCAAACAGAAAGAGCCCAGATTCAGATTCAGGTTATTTCGAAACCTCGATACAATTACCGGCACAAATACTTCGAATGTTTCGTTGTTTCAAGAAGCCTCGCTTTGCCCTTCGCCAGTAGAAAATATCATTAAAGTTTTCATAGACCTCAGTGGTAAATATTGACAACAATAAAGGATACAACTCCAGTTTGCCTGTTCCTCCGTTAGCTTCTCCAGCTGCCGCCATTGCGATTTTTGTGCTGAAACGAACCGGAAACGGAAAGGCTTTCCATGTATGAGGGATACAGCGAAGAAGGACTGCTGTCCCCAGTGGCAGAATGCAGTATTACAACAGTGAATACTGCACACAGTGAACTGAAAATACACTAAAAATTAACAAAACTAGGTGTGAATAACATTTAAATTCACTAATATAAACGAAAAATAGATTTTTGAAATAATAATAATAATAATAACAGTATACTAACTCAAAATGGATGAAATCCAACAGAAGCGAAACCGAAAAGCAACAGAAATTTTAAATGAAAAATCAATTTTTAAGAAATTATGGAGAAAATACACGTCACATATCAAAAAAAGTAGCCTGGGTGTGACTTCTTTGACATTTTCATTTATTTATTTTGAAAAGGAAACATTTTTCAAAAGAAATGTGAAGTGCAACTTTTCTGCTATAAAATTAGCAGCCACTAATTCCAAATTTATAATCAAAGTTTTCCAACCTGCACCCAACCTGAAACACCTCCTGGCACTTGGGCAGCTACTTTGAGGTATTGGGATTGGGTATTGGGCAATACCCAATAATACCAATACGTTAATTTCACGTTTCATCACTATATAAAACTGTATGGATAGAACCACCAGTCAAATCTATTTGGAATGCCTCAAGGTGGTTTCTTTTTTGTGTTTAAAAGCAACTAATAAAACTAATAACTGCTTTGTTCATATCTTCCTGAAGCCATCATGGCTTCATTATGATGGTATTCAGTTCAGTTCAATTTTATTTATATAGCTCCACATCACAACAACAGTTGCCTCAATGGTCTTCATAAGGCCAAGACTCTACAATAATGCAGACAAAACCCCAACAGCAAACAAGTACTTGGTAACAGTGGGAAGGAAAACCTGCTTTTTAAGAGGGAGAAACCTCCAGCAGAGCCAGACTCAGGGAGGGGCAGCTATCTGCCACGGGGTGAGGAGAGGAAGACAGGACAAAAGACATCCTGAGGAAGAAAGCAGGGGTGAATCTAGGTTCAAAGTTTTTGATTCATAATTAATGGTACCTTACAATTAGTAATATACTACTTTCAAATGCAGTCAGTACTTTTCACATTTGCAAACCTTATTTCAGTAAAATGTTACCTTCAAAAGCAACTTAAATAGGTATGACCTATTGCAGTGTATAGAATAATTCATAATCACAAGAACAATTCATAATGAATAATCACAGATTTCAATATATTACACCACTTTAATGGTGGACACTTTTAGTTATCAATCCTAAGGAAAGTTGACCACGCTGACCAGAATTTTTTAAAGTGAAGAACAACTTGTGAGGAGAAACATGAACGGCATTTTTTCAGTCTCTTGACCACATGGAGGGAGTTGATCAAATCATTAAGCACTTAAAGTAGCATTATTCAGTAAAGAAATTGGAAAATCACACTGCCACTCCATTCACATCGACAAGAAGCAAACTGGTCAGAGAGCTGCTTTTACTTTAAAGTTTTTTAATTCATACAAACCCTCCGTTTATGTGATGGACCAAGTTGAAAAGCAGGAGTCAAAGGAATTATTGGAAGAAGAGGATTTTTCCTTTATTTAACCCAAAAGGTTATATTTACAAAAGTGATAAATATTTAGCTAATAAAAGAAGTCAAAGAAACAAAACTGAACTCAGGCAAAGAAATGTGAACTTGACAAACCAACTGACTGCCCAAACAAACATAACTTACGTGATCAGAAATGAAATGAATGAATCAGTCAATGTGATCATAGCATCATTCCGAAATTGTGGGTTGATTTACCAAGATGATAAGTATCTTCGTGTGATCGCCTGATTACTGATGTTAGGATAAATAAAGCCCGAGAGTTGGAGTATATGTAATGTTGAGCTTTTTAGTACATGGCCATGTGTGAATCATGCTTTGAACATAGCTTATCTGGTTTAGAGAATTTTGCTCAGAATAACAAGCTGACTTCTCAGTCTTTCACTTGATTTTGATGCCATGTTTCTCAGCAATGCTGCTTAGTCAGCAAGGTTTACTGAAAACCTGATGTATAGCCATATTTCTAACAATCTGATTTCCTCATACTAGCCCCTTAGAAGTTGATTTTGTATCTCGTTGTTTTTACAAAGGTCCTGCTGGAGAGATCCTGCTGTAAAAGACAAGTACATAACGGTGATAAATAGATGGAGATCTTCAGTAACAATACGCTCCCACGTCTTTATTACACCAGCAGTATGAACTGTTGATACAAAGCAGGATAGGTCAAGATTTTCATGTTCTTTATGCCTTGGAAAAATTTCTTTCTATTCTTCTAATCAATTCCGGTGAGCTTGGGTGAATTGTACTTGAAGAGAACTACAAGAAAAACATGATAAATTAATGACAAAGCCTAAGCAGAACTATTTAGAATGGAGGAGACCTAACACAATTAAGGAGAAAAGGCAGGAAAAGCTTTGGCATGGCACATAAAATTGTTACAAAAGGAGAGGAGGAGTGAATGAAATGAAGTTATGAAGTAAATGAAATCAGAATCGCAGATGAAACCATTACAGATCTTTAAAGAATAAATGAAATCTTTAAATCTTATTACACACAACCAGGGGTGGCAAAGTACAGATATTCTGTACTGTAGTAGAAGTACAAATACTAGTGTTAAAAAATACTCCAGTAAAGGTTGAAGCACCGATTTCGTTACTCAAGCAAAAGTAAAAAAACTACTGGATGTAAAATGTACTCAAAGTAAGAAAGCAAAAAGTAGCTTTTTGGAGGACTTTTGTACCAGCTATTATTGTGCAAAGCTAACTGAACCTTAAATCGTGTTATTATTACTTTAATATAACAAAAGCACACTACCAGTCAAAAGTTTGGACACACCTTCTCATTTAATGTATTTTCTGTATTTTTACTACTTTCTGCATTGTTAGA